TGTATATATAAATAATTTATAAAATAGTTAATAAATGTTGTAGTGGGGACCACTTTTGAAAGTGTAGGTGACGTGGCACAGTTGAAAGTGTTGTAGGTGAATTGCAGGTGTGTGGAAAATAATTGCAAAAGCTGATGTGGCACAATTGAAAGTGTAAATGGATTGCAGGGATGTGGATGGTCTAACTTCAACCAATTTTATGGTTTTGATTTATTGTCAACTTTATGCAATTTTTTATATTAGTTTTTTATATTAAATTTTTTTATGAAAGATGATTGGTCAAAAAAGGACAACCTAATAATTGCACAAAACTCTCTTCGTATTATAAGATATTTAACTTCTTTTTAAATATTCACTTCCTTATTTTGTATTATTTGGTTAGTTTTAATTTCAATCATGGTTATATATTTTGTATTATTTGTTTGGTTCCTCCTCTAATATATTATATTGATATTGACATTGGTTAATGATTGATTTCAAATTCATTTTTTCCTTCTTTCACATACCTATATCCGTCTTCGAATATATCACATATAACATGTAACTTCTTTACATATAGGTTTATTTTATTTTATTTTACTTATAATCACATTTAGTTAATATAAAAAGGTTGTGATAGATTCAATTTTAATTATAACAAACTAAAACAATCAATAAATTGTTCATTATATTATTTTAAAGTTTTTAATTCAACTTTATCATATAAAATATCTTTCATTGTTATTTTAAAGTCAACTGATATAAAAGAAATAATAAAAAATAGGGTCATCCAAGTAAGATAACCTTGTGATCAAGCGTCATGAGTTGGCACAATGAATCTCATTCTTCTTACTTATACATACCTCATTATTCAATTCTTTTAATCTCTCACCAATGTGGGATATCTCAAATTCAACCACGATTCCCCAACACCTCAGTATTCAATTCTCATGATTTCAAATCAATATCTCTTGGTTTGGACGGTGATCAAAACTCAATTTAAGAAAAAATGTAAAATCCTCGACTCGACAGGAAGTGCGATGTGTCTGAAACCTCGGGATCGTATTTATATTTATATCGCCCCGTCTAACACCGTAAATTACGATTTGGAGAATACTAAAATCAGAAGAAAGCATGTCATTAAGTCGACACTTTCATTCTATATATAAGTGATATAATGAATACTTAAACTACATTTGTTATTATAAGTACTGTAATGATCACAATTTTATTAAGTCAAAAATGTATCATTTGCATTCGTTTTGCACAAATCTTTTACCAATTAGTTGGTTTTAACATTCGTATTTAAAAATAATTTAAAAACTAACAAGTTAAAAGTTAAAATAAAAGTTTTTCACTTAAAATTAAAAAACAAAAATCTAGAGAAAAAGTCATTTTCATAATAAGTAGAAAACAATATAATTCTCATATTGTTTTCTTAATTCTCAAAATTTTACTTTATAGTGAAATTGTGATTTTAAGACCTAAAGGTGGTAAGTTTGGTCACGCTTGGTCAAGAATGACCAAACACGTTGCTATTGGAAAAGAAGGGTGGAATCAGGGAATTTGAATATGTGATTGCTGTCGATATGTATGTTTTGAACCAAGGTTCTAAATGACGTGAGACGTGGCATAGTGACAAGGTCAAGTCTCAAGCCTTATGAGTTACGACAAGGTCATGGAATTTTCCAACGTGTAGCTTAAGGCGGTAAATCTCTATATATACATGTGTGTGTATGTGTATTTATGTCAGTGTCTTGAATAATAATGATTAAATTATTAACAATTTAAATTCAATATAAAAAGATAAGAAAAGAATAACCATGAATTGATAATTTGATATCAAATATATAAAGTTTACAAAAATGATATCAAATATACAAAACAAGTCACTATTTACAGTCTCTATTTGGTAATCAAACAACAAATCAAAGTAATGAAATCAAAAGGCAACAAATTAAAGTAATCAGACAATATTTTTCGTATGTTGAGTAATAATTGTGGGTTTTTTCATTTTCCCCTTTTTTGTTGATTAAATAGGTGGCCCGTAAAAACGATAAAGTTACTCCTATTCAAGTTCTAAAAATTGCAAATATCTCATGAGCCTTATAACGCCATAACGCGCCATGAAGGGTCATGGCGCACCATGGCAGGCCATGGCGAGCTCCACAAGTTATATCCATGCCAAGGGGGTTAACGTGGCGGCAAGGTTGCACCTCAGCATCATGACATGTTTTTTAGAACATTGGTTTGATGCATATATAAGCAGGTATACATGTGAGGAGTGTTTGTGTTCAAAAAAGAACGAAGAGGTTTGGTGTAAAACTGAAGCTTTTTGCAGTTGAATAGATGAAACAATCGTATTTCAAAACCTAGAAAAACTGTATGTGCATTATGCATGGTAGTGTGGAATCCTTTTGTTATTTGGCACAATTATGTGGAGTTGTGAAGTAGTTTGGTATGACTGTCTGGTAGCTAGCATGGTAGTGTGTAAGTTTGTGGTGTAGTTCGGCACACTATTAACTTATGTAAAGGCTGACCATTGACATAAGCATATATGCGTTATGTAGGTTGTGTTGCAAGCAGGAACGGTGAGAATATGCATTCGAGTGAGTATTATGAGTATTTAAAACGGGACACATGTTTATGTATAAAATAACATGTTTAGTAAGGATCAATATTATTATATTGTATGTCCAAAATATCTTGAACTCAAAAGCGGATCATAGTGCACTTTAGGTGTCGAGCGAGAAAGATCTCTTCTTTTGTTTCGGTTTATTCACTTATCTGAAACTTAGAACTTGATTTCTTATTGATTCCAGGGGTGGCAGCATTCTTGAACGCTCTTTTTTTAATGGGGAGGAATAGTACATGAACGGAGCGAGACCAAGCCGAGCCACTAGTAGAGTAAGCCCTTCCCATGTGTCAAAATGAATTGCAACCTCAACCAAAGAGATCAACCTGCGCCTTTGATGTTAGGCCCCGGCGGAAAGTTTTCCGAAACCGAACTGAATGGAACATCTCTCAAGGAGCTATGCATGCCACATGTTTTATTTTTTGTTTTTATATTTTTTTAGCGTATGTTTAATGTTATTCAATATGTTTAAAAATTATACTTAGAAAGTAGTAATATGTTTTCTATGTACATATGGATTCACGTATTGAGACATCAATAATCGTTATAAGAAGCACTGGGAAAGAGAAGTACTTGTAAAGATCATATCAACATATGTGGGTAAAAACCCATCTATGCCAACTAATAACGATCTTTGGTGATCCATACCACATAAAGAGAATAATATCTTGAAAAATGAGTTAAATGTTTTGTGAGCTTTATATGCATAACTATTTTATGGACTATTATTCCAACTTATTTGTCTTATATGCAATGTATGTGATGTTATATAAAAAACCATGAACTTATTGAGCTTAATAGTTGACCAGTAACATTTATTCAGAAACATGAAAATCAAGAGTTGACAAAGGCATATCCAACATATCTCCATTTCCATCTACATTACAACAAGCAAATCCAACATATCTCTAACACATCTCCATCTTATTTCATCTCCAAAACAAAATTGAAATCATCTTAATATCCTATTTAATCTCTAAAAACGAAAATCAAAACCATCTTCATCTCCTTGAAAAACGAAGGTAATTTCATCTCTTGAACAGATATGTGTTTGGAGGTGCTAGGGCTAGGGTTCACGAGAGATGAAGAAGGAACTCGTAGATTTGTTGGCCGACAGTAATGGGGTTGCAGAAGCGGACTGTATTGCTGCTGCATGGAGACGGGAAGAAGAGGGTAAGTCGGTGATGCTTGAGAGGGATGAGAGGTAGAATCAGAGAAAAGTTTCTATTCCTCCCAAGTTAGGGAGGAATGATTTTTACTCAAATCTATTATAATGATTGATTAAAAATCTGAAACCAAACACCACTTTTCATTCCATTTCCTTTCCTAATTTGAACCAAACATGATCAATGATCATCATTTCCATTCATTACCTTCTAATACCTCCAACCAAACACTCATTTTTTTAGAAAAAAAAAACATAAATTAAATGTAAACAAGTAACAAGTATTTAGAACATTGTTATTAATAACTATTATACCAGTTTAGTTTTTGTTTAGTTAACATGATAT